CAGCCGCATGGCACCAGGAACATTGGCGAAGATCCACTTCTGCCAATCTGCGTAGTCCCCTCGGCGCTACATGCGATGAGTGTCAAGTCCTCTGTCGAACTTGCGCGCAACTCACCGGATTGACGAACCACACAGGTGTTCGGACGAAATTGACAACTGTGGTTGATGGTTCCTTCACAATATGTGGGATGAGTTGCGCTCTGAAGAAACGCCATCAGTCATGGTCCGAAACCAGCATAATAGCTTGACCTACGCTGAACAACCATTACCAATGACGGCGGCCCGCTTATTGTGAAAGTCTACCGAGTGGTTCCAGCGAGCAGTGTGGAAGATCTTCCCCTTGAACTTGTCCACGCCCTTGAGGTCGTCCGGAACTTTGGGCTCAGAAAGCAGACCCAAGGCACCAACGAAAACTTGCGCAGTGGTGACGCTACGCTCGCCAGTGCGTGTGTTCTCGAGCTCGATCCGGTACAGCTGCTGGGCGTTGTCCCAGACGGCTTGTTTGACTCTCGTGTTCAGGACGACATGGTCGTACATGTTGTACTTCGCCGCGATATTCTTCCAATACGCCTGCAGCTCGGGCTGCAAGACGTGCGTCCTGCTCCAGTAAGGGTTCAGGTCGGTGGACAAGCTGTACCAGTGAGTTGGCACGTCCGATGCGCAGCCCTGTAGCCAACATATTGATTAGCGTCGCATTCACCAGGAGACCAAATGATATACCGGATATGTGTTGTCCTGAATACGACAGGGTCGTCAGCCACCCATAGAGCCAAGTGAAGGAGAGCATAGTCCTACCCTCCATGTACCTCCAATGTCCGAGGCTTTCTCATATATCTTCGAGGACTATGAACACCAACTCGCGTACTGACTGATAAGCATCCTCACGGTGAAGTTCTCAAATCCGAGCTGTCGCTTCAAGGCAATCCCAAAGGACAAGCCGCCAAGACTGCAACAATCCGGTTTCAGTGTTGCCCCAAAGCCGAGCAGTTCGGTAAGACTCACCCTGCTCCCATAATCACTACCCTGGGGGTATCAGAGCCTTCCGAGAAGTCCTTTGAGAAGGCCATTGCGCAAGGACGTGGATGCGCTTCAATCTGAGGAAGTAAGAGGTGAGAGACTTAGGAACCTGGCATGATCGCAATCAGTCTTATAGCGAGGGAGACAGCCTCCGGAAGTAGTTCGATAGGCAGAAATGGGATCATCCCCAATGACAGCATGTGTCGCTGGGATGCCGTCACTTTCTACGTTTGTCGATACCATAGATGTCAAAAACTGACAGAAACGCACAGCCCGCCGGCTCGAATCCGTACGCAATTTCCTTAGAAGATCGGCAAGAATCAACCAGCCCACATCGAGGCAACGAACGGGCTGCGCTCGGCCCTACCCCGAGTCCGGTGGGAGCGGAGTGGCGAGCGTTCTCGGAGTCCCATGCAGAAGCGGATCAAGAAAGCCGGCCGGGAAGTTGCGACTCGTGGCCTAGGTACACGCCGGTCAGAAGACACACTGACCGAGGAAGGCAAGCCGTACCCCCGGACTAATCTCCGAAGCCATCCGACAGACGACTCGAGTCGTTGTTTCGGCAGCGGCGGTCAACACACGCGAAAAGAACATTGTTTCTCAGGACAAATACGTCTTGGGCATCGACAAGCTGCAGGTACTCAAGCGTGCCTGGCACATCCCTGACCGCGGTAGATTCCCCCCCAGTGGGGGGTGCAGGGACAATTAGATGGTTCTGGAAATAGGCTACCTGTCATGCTCCAATCTCCCTCACTCTCGTGTATTGCACGTGTCAGTGGACTGCGGAAGAGAGTATAGTCCGCGAAGAAGAGCAGAGATTGTGCTAACTGAGCTTACTGCGCAGGATGTATTGGTGCGCCACCAAAGAAGTCTGCCTTTCGAGGCTGCTGTAATTCTCGGGGGCTCGGTCTTCGACGACCGAGGGGATGTCGATAGCCGTTCGAGAGCGATGGATTGAGATGATCGAAAAACACATGAATGATGGGAGCGGAATCTCCCATCGCAGGGTCGTTGAAATCTTCCTCCCAAGGAAATATCTAAATTGATGTCCATGGATGTACATTCTGTGAACCAGTGTCGGCAATCGACCACTTCGTTAGCAGGGCAGAATCAATCGCAGTCTTGCAGCATGGCCTGCACCTGACGGCCATCACGCTGGAATAAACCTTGGAGACATCCGTCGCCTTGGAGGGCAATCAATCACAAGTCGGCGAGGCGCTGTAGCTGGATGCCCCTGGGTGCCCGGCTCAGGCTCGAGAAGGACCAGCTCAGGAATAATTTGCAGTCGGGCTTTCGTGAACGTGGAGAACACAGGGCAGAAAATCTGTGAATTTGAGTAGACTCAGACCAGACCCGTGCTTTCATGAAAGTCGTGGCGAGGGCAAGACGGGGCCGAGCGAGAGCCTGCGAGACCTGGGCCGAGAGCGGTCGCGGATGAGAGCAGACTGCCGCGCGCTCCCAGGCCGACGTGTGCAGGACGTGGCCTCCGTCATTCCTCCATGGGTTATTCCGTCCCACATAACTTGCTCTCTCCCCAAACATCCTTATCTCTTGCACATCACAGGGTGGTCACTGAGTCTACTGTCGCGCATGTACCCGCGTCATTTATATGCTTTGGTGTTTGGATTGCTTCTCGGCCCATCATACGCGCAAGCTAGTCAGGCACATCCCCCGTCCAATCCGCATCTCAGCAAGGAGCAAGTACAAGATGTACTAGACTACAAGCCACCAAAGGATCCTGGCTGTACCCAATTTGTATGCTGGGCGTCATCACCGTACAGATATTGACTGAACAAACCATGTGCTAGCCTACTGGGCCCATAGAAACTACGTCATGCGACATTGAAACTATCGAGAGCGTCAACGAGGAACTATACAACGAATTGCACTCCCTTGTCGAGACACCCTTTTTCAAGTACTTCCGAGTGAGTAAAATGCTGATGCACACCCTCGGAGTTGGCTGACCGGTTGCTTGCAGGTCGACCTGTACCGGGATTGTCCCTTCTGGCAGGAGAACGGCTTCTGCATGAACAGGGAGTGCGGGATCACCACTGTAGATGAGGTATGTGTGCCAATCAGGCTGATACGAGTTGAGTTTGATGATCATTCTCAAGAGTGAAATACCAGAAAGATGGCGAGCGGCGGAGCTGAGCAAGCTGGAGATGCCACCAGAGAACGAGGTATGTCATGTCAATAAGCAGTGTCCTCCATCTCTGACGTTCTGCATACACCACAGAGCACGAATCTTCCTGGGTGCTACTACCGTGATTCCGACTACTGCTTCCTGGATGACATGACTGGTTAGCACTCCTACGATCCAATGTTACTTGAAGGTCAACTTACATGTGGTATTGGCAGAGGGTGACTACGTCGACCTGTCGATGAACCCGGAGCGCTTCACCGGATACACCGGGCCTTCCGCGCACCGAGTATGGTCATCAATCTACCAGGAGAACTGTTTCGGCTTGTCTGAGCTCAATCTTCTCTCCTCCGACTCGCCAAACCCTGGTTCTGTCTCGCTACCGGACTCTATGACTGGAGTGCTTCGAACCGAGGAGGGCGAGCAATCGCGTGATTGCCTGGAGCAGCGCGTTTACTACAAGATCATCTCCGGTGAGATGCATGGTCCTTTTTCGCAGTTGTCATGACTGATAGACATTCATAGGTCTTCACGCCAGTATCTCAACACATGTCTGTCATGATACTATGAACCAGTCCACAGGAGAATGGGTACGTCCCATTCCAAACAGAAACTGGGCATTTGGCTAACGTGTTGCTCTTCAGGGCCCTGATTTGAAGTGCTTCATCTCGCGCGTAGCTTCACATCCAGAGCGGTTGGAATACCTATATTTCGACACAGTGCTACTCCTCCGCGCGGTAGCACGTCTCGGCACATACCTCTCCGCGTATGATTATTGTGGCACCGGTACGCACGAGGATGACGCAGCCACTCTCGAAAGGCTAGGCAAAGTCATCGACATCGCGCGTGCCGTCGGGAAGTTTGACGAGACTGTCCTGTTCCGAGGAGAAAATGCAAACGTGAGTCACCATTATCCCATATGGTTGGCATCCTGCTCACGGACTGTCCAGATTCTGAAGGAAGAATTCAAAGAGCACTTCCGGAATGTATCACGGATCATGGACTGCGTGGGATGCGACAAGTGTCGTCTTTGGGGCAAGGTCCAAACGACCGGTCTTGGAACGGCACTGAAGGTGCTCTTCGAACTTGATGAGAAGGCGCTAGAGTATGTCCTCAATTTCTGAGTTGGCCTGATACTAACATCCGTGCAGCCCACGAGCCAATGCGAATTTGCTACAACGCTCCGAGGTTGTCGCACTCATTAACACTCTTCATCGTTTCTCCGAGAGCCTCGAGTATGTCAACGATTTCCGCCGCATGTGGGCTAGTATGGACTCGCAAGAAGAGGATGCTGTCATTCATGATACGCAGGCGGAGGTTGAAGCAGCCGCTCGTTCGGCACCAAAGGTCGGGTTGCATCGGACAAATAATTGATCTACCAGCCTACTGATGCGTCTGTTAATATAGCCTCGCCGCTCGCCTACTGCGGGTTCTGAAGAAGCTATTGAAGGGAACTTCTTGGAAAGCCTCATGGCCCGTGTTGCCTGCTGGATACGCGCATGCAAGGATGGCACGGTCGGGTGTGTTCAAGGGCTGGTAGATGCTTTTAGAGGACTGCTCAATGCTCTGAAAGGCATATTCAAATTGTCTGGGAAGGACCAGGTACCTCGAAGTGATCTGTAACCTGCGAGGTTCTACCTTGGTTCCCGTGTAGTGGGGTCACGTATTTATCGTACATGTACATTATACTTTGACACATGGATGCGGACCTTCTAAAATGTGCACACATGAACGTTGCGGATCAATTGAGCCCAGCGGAACATCGAGGGGGTGGCCAGTACTTAGCGAATGACCACAAAATGCCTAAATGTCCCATTTAGCAATTGCTCTGCACCGAATTCAGGGCAGTGTAGCCAAGTGGTTACGGCGCCACGTTTAGGTCTTAGGACAAAACCGTGGTGGGTTTCCCGCGCGAGTTCGAATCTCGTCACTGTCATCATGGGTAGTAGTGGACTATCTTTTTTCTTTCATCGGCTTCATATTTGCTATTTGCAAAACTCTTTTTCTCTCCCCGAGTTTGAGTGTGCCTGTGAATTACTAATTATTGCCTGAGTGCAACACTCAGAACCTCTGTAAATAGGCACAAACATATCCCAGATGCCGGTGCTTACCGGCGCTTACTCATATACTACTTACCAGTGTACCACTCATCAGCCACTTGTCTCCTCTAAAGCCTCACCAGTGCTTGCAGTGGAAGGATGGCTTCTGCGTCAGGTATGTTGACACTTATGGCTCTATGACCCGGAGCTCTTATATTCTTCAGCGACCGGCAAGCTTTCACGCGAGGAATTCCGTCGACAGAAGGATCTCGACGCTGCCCGCAAGGCGGGTACCGCGCCTGCGGCGCTGGATGAGGAGGGAAAGGCAATCAACCCTCATATCCCTCGTATGTTTTCATCACGATGCATAATGTACTGATGCTGATTGTATCTTCTGTTTCTGTTCAGAGTACATCGCCCAAGCGCCATGGTACCTCGACACGGGCGCCCCTTCGCTCAGTCATCAGCGCATTCCGGAGTATGATCGCTCTGCGGACAAGCTCGACAATTGGTACGATCGAGGAGCGAAGGCTGGTCCTGCGGCGAAGAAGTACCGGAAGGGCGCATGCGAGAATTGCGGCGCCATAACACACAAGAAGCAGGACTGTATGGAGCGGCCCCGCAAGAGGGGTGCGAAGTTCACAAACAGGGACATCGCGCCGGACGAGGTCATTCAGGACGTCGCGACGGGCTACGATGCGAAACGCGACAGGTGGAACGGGTACGACCCCGCGGAGCACCGTAGGGTATACGAGGAGTATGAAGCGATCGAGGCCGCGCGACAGAAGCTGCGAGAAGAGGAGATTGACAAGCAGACGACCACCGACCTTGCGGCGGTGCGGAAGGTCGCGAAGGCGGGGAAGGAGAAGGGCGAGAGTCACGATGACGACTTCGGGAGCAGCGACGAGGAGGACGAAGATCAGGACAAGTATGCGGAGGCAGCGGATGCCGTGGGGCAGAAGCTCGACACGAAGACTCGTATCACTGTCCGCAACCTTCGTATCCGAGAAGACACTGCCAAGTACCTCATCAACCTCGACCCCTCCAGTGCATACTACGACCCGAAGACCCGCTCTATGCGTGACAACCCACTCATGAACGTTGCACCAGAGGAAGCACTGTTCGCTGGTGACAACTTCCTGCGCCACTCAGGCGAGGCTCCTGCAGTGCAGAAACTACAGCTCTTCGCATGGAACGCGGCCGCACGGGGGAATGATGTACACATGAACGCAAACCCGACGCAGGGCCAGCTGCTGCACCAGGAATTCCAAAAAAAGAAGGAGGAGTTGAAGGATATGACAAAGGTCAGCATCCTGGCGAAGTATGGAGGCGAGGAATACCTCGAGAAGGCACCGAAAGAGCTTCTGCTGGGCCAGACGGAGGAGTACGTCGAGTTTTCGCGGACGGGTCAGGTCATCAAGGGCAAGGAGCGTGCGAAGACGCGGTCAAAGTACCCGGAGGATGGTAAGTGTCATTGGCCCTACATAGCTTTCGCTCGCTCACACTGATTTCTGCCTGTAGTGTACATCAACAACCACACGCAAGTATGGGGTTCGTGGTACGATCCTGCATCTGGCGAGTGGGGCTATGCCTGCTGTCACTCTGCTATACACATGTCCTACTGCACGGGCGAGGCAGGCATTCTCGCTGCGCAAGCTTCAAGTGCCAAACACCTCCTTGCATCCTCGTCCACATCCGTACAACCATCGACAGAGCCATCCCCACCTCCAGTAGCTGAAGGAGGCAAGGAGGACCGTAAGAAGAAGGCGGAGGAGTTGTTCTCGAAGCGGCGGTTAGGAGAGGGTGAACTCAAGCTGGATCAGAGCCGTCTTGTGGACGCGATCAACGAGGAGCGCAAGAGGAAGGCGCGCGGGGAGGAGGACGACCGGTGGGGTAAACGTCAGAAGGGTGCACCAAGTGGAAGCGCAGGCTATGAGGTTACGGAGGAGGAGCTTGGTAAGTTACACTACACCGTCTGTGTAGCTCTGATACTCATATCCACTTTCAGAGGCATATCGTATGAACCGTCGGATGACGGAGGATCCTATGGCAAGTTATGTGGACACAGAGGCATGATACGTCTCGTGTATTGTACTTGTATACTCTTTTCTTTTACGTTTACCGTTCACGCCCGCTTCCATCCCGGGAGATACTCATCGACTGCATACGAGACGGCCTGAATGTGATGCACTGCCAGTTATCTGACATCCGTTTGTGATGTTCTTCAACTCTGTGCTGAACATTCCTGTGAGCGGCTGATTCGTGAGTTGATTCCGGTGTGGCAAGGCGATGAACACGTTGAGATATTGCAAATTCAATCTTGCTTGGTGCCGGTGCCCCTTCCGTTAAGCTGCATAAGATTGAGAACTTCCAGAGGCCCCTACAGGCTTGGAGACAATTGGCACAATGACGCTGCAATTGTCTCCTACATTTCATCGTTATGACGGTGCGGTCTCACTCGCACCGCGCTAGTACTAGTGGCTGGAGGGATTCGCGTGCGGCACGCACGGCAGTGCATGTCCACCACGCTTAGCAACGACCAAGCGCTCGCCAGGGCCTCCTCTCAGCGTCACAGCCACGTTCCGCAGGTGGATATGTAGGCGGTGGGTCATCCTTGAGTCTGACGTTGTTCTTGCTCTCATCATACTTACCTTCATGAAGTCCCAGCTATACGCACCGTCGTTACTGCTCTATATCTCTCTCCTTCTCGAGCTGAAAGATGTCCATGCATCACTGAGCCTCTCCGTCTCAGGCCGCCGGCGCGAGGTGTATGCTGGGCTAGTAAAACGTGGGTCAATGAGCGGTGCAAACCTGCAAGACTCGGGCGACCTGGACTATTATACCAACATCACGCTGAATGGGACACAGAACACCGTCCTCATCGATACGGGCAGGTGAGCTGCCCGACTGGCCGCCCAACGTGATGGCCCGAGGTGTTGACGGATTGCGCAGTTCCGACTTGTGGGTAGCTGGCAGCATCCCTGGCGCGGCAGATTCAGGCCAAACAGCATCAGTTACCTACGCAATTGGTGATGTTCATGGTGCGTAAAAGTCGTGCGAGTTCGCTGGCTGCAATCAAGTAACGACAGTCAAACAGGACCTATAAAGTTTGCCAATCTTGAATTCGACGGATATTCCGTAGAGAACCAAGCATTTAGTGAGTCTTCTCCTAAGTTACTCTTATGACGTACGCTCAATGTTCAATTATCTCAGTCGAGGCGGCGGTCGATGCCTCGCATCCAGGCGGACAAGGTCTCATTGGGCTCGGACCCAACAGTGGCTCAGAGATCCATGGTCAAATTAACAATCCCTCTGGCGACGCTGCCCTCGACCGAATCTTCCGTGCGAACATGTCTGCGCCAAACATTCTTACCATCCTACTCGGACGTTCTGACGACCCGTCCGAGCCCTTCCCTGGCGAGATCACCGTGGGCAGGACGATCGACGGCTTCGAGAATGTCACGAGCCAACCAAAGCTCTCTGTGCGCACGGACAGCGACGCTGTTGATCAACACTGGCAGACACTGACGGATAAGAATGGAATCATCGGTCCTGACGGACAACCCATCTCGGTCTCGTCGGATGTGAAGGGAGCGCCAAGCGGCCAGCTGGTTGCGGTGTTCGACTCGGGTTTCTCCCTTCCCCAGGTACCAAAGTGCGTGTGATTGTGAGGCTGCCTGTATGCACGGGTTTGCTAACTGGCTGCAGATCTGTTGCAGACGGAATCTATGGACGGTTTCCTCAGGCATCTTTCCAGAACGTGACGCAGGGAGGTATAGGCCTCACTTGGACGCTCCCTTGCGATATCGAAGTTAATATAACCTTCAAATTCGGTGGTGTCTCTATTCCCATACACCCACTCGACACGAACTATGATGATGGTCTCATGTACCCGAACGGGACGAAGTTCTGTGTTGGAGCATTCCAGCCGATCCAGCCGGGCGCAGAGAGCTCAGAGTATGACATGATCCTTGGAATGGCTTTCTGTGAGTAGTTGTCATCATTGTGCCTATTATATGCCAGCAGGCTAATGTGCCCCGCCTTGATAGTGCGCAACGCATATCTGCTGGTCAACTTTGGTGACTTCGTCGACGGATCGACATCTAACACTGCCGCACCATACATCCAGCTACTTCCTGTGACCTCTCCCTCTGCCGCGCACAACGACTTCGTTGCTGAACGTCTAGGTGGCAAGGACACTGGACAGGACTTCCAGCTCCTGCCCGCTACGCCGGGCGATGATGACGATGACAGCGACGGCAAGTCATTCTCGCAGAAGATCAAGCGTTACCTGCCGTACATCATTGCGGGCAGCGTCGTCGTCGGCTTATTGCTCATTGGTGGTGTGACATGGTGCTGCCTGCGTGGCCGCCGCCAGCGCTACCGCCCTCTGCACGAGCCCGCACCCATCGGGGCAACGTATGAACACCAACCGCCGCCGTTCGCGAGCTACCAGCCCAGCCGCCGCTACTGATCTATCACGATTTCTGAGGTTCCACTAATTTGGACTCGGGTGTATACTGGCTTCCACTCCTTGCTTGCTTTCTGCTCCTCGTTTGCACATAGTAGTTACGGACACTGCACATATACTCACTGTCGGATAAATTATTGTAGATTACTGACACGTCGAGTTGCTTTCCGGCGTTGCGCCTGTATATGTTATATACGTCCCCTGGCATACCAAATATATGCGCCTGATTTGTAAAGAATTCCCAGAGAGTCACATCGCGATAGAGGACTCTGCTTTGCTTTGCACGACCATGGATCAAACGGTGAGACCTGGTCGCCGGCGCCGCTATGATCATCACCCTCCATGCTCTCTGCGACGCTCGCACCTCGCTTCCATCTCTGGGCTCCCTTTCTGCCGCCATGCTTCCCACGGTCTCGGACGGCAGGC